GGCTCCCAAAAAATCAAAAAGAAGAAAATTCAAAATTTTCTTACCTTGGTGCGGCACGGTGAAGAAGAACAACAACAAGAGACGACTCTTATCAAGGGCAAGAGAATAAGAAAGCTAGAGGAGGGGGAACAAATTTCCTTTGGCTTCTCTCTTCCTTGTTGGAATGATGATTGTTCTCCAAAATTTATTTCATCCCCTGCTTAAGGCAGAATTAAATAGGTATTGAGGGTAATTGGTTTCTTTTCCTGGAAGAAGTTTATCTCTAAATCAAGGAAGGAGATCAAGTTCAAATTTGGAAACAACTCTAGAGGCGACACGTGGACTTTTGCCCAAGAAAGACAAGATTGCCCTCAATAAATGGGCATGCTCCTCAGATACTCCCACTCGTAGCTCACACCCCTGAAGGTCCCAGCAGCTGAATACGACTGCCCACAATTGACCTGCCCTTGGCAAAGAAAAGTCAAAGCGTTAAAGATAAGGATTAATTACCCAAATCCTATCTTTAATACATTACCAATTGAAGATTGACTCAATTCAAGTAAGTAATCCCAATTTAAATCAATTAGGAATAATTACTCCATTATCTCAAGATATGACTCCATTCAAGTAAGTAATCCCAATTTAAATCAATTAGATATTAATTATTGAGAATATCTCAAGATATTATTTCCTATTGAGAATATTTCTCCAAGATATATTTCTCCCTATTGAGAAATTTCCCCATAAACCTTGGCCAATAGGATGCCGTCATGTGTAGGGTAAAACCATAACACCATGGCCGGCCATTCCCCAATATATACCCCAATTGTACCAATTTTTGGTAAGCTTTTGCTACCCCTAAAATCCCTAAACATTTTGCTCTTCTCGGAGAAACTAACTTAGGCATCAAAGATCCATTGGCGTAAACCCCTCCCCCCCCCCCCCCAAAAAAAAAAACAAACCTCGTGGGTGCGTGAGGCTTAGGTCCTTGATCAAAGGTGTTGATTGTTTTGCAGGTGCATTTTCGTCAAAGCTAGAGATGGCGAAAGTTTTCATCCACATTGATCGGTTTTGAACAACAGTACAAGGGGTTGTTGCACCCTCTTGGAGCCCCCCTTAGACGTTGGACTAAAGTCCATACGTACATTAAACCCATCTACAAGAGAGATGCCACAACAATCCAAATTATTATATTGATTAAGGGCATACTCAGCTAGGGTGTTTGGAGGTCAACCATATCCTTGGCATCGGAGGACACCCCCACAATCACCTGTTTGGCATCGGCCACATCCTGCTCTATCAAAGTTGTATCCAGTCCAAGCCCATCTACTAGCCCCTTTGGTGCCGGGACGCACATCTAAGACCCAAGTTTGGCCTTTGCTGAGCTAGAGACCAAACAATGTATTGGGACAGTTATTATTATTTTTTTTTGTGTGTTGAATCGAGCTGCATTGGTCGATACAAAGAACAGAGCCGCACTTAGGATGGAGAAAAAACTAAGGAGTCACATTGTGGAAATTGTGGAAGCTAAGCAACACTAGATTTAATATATTGGTTTTTTGGTGTGGCTATGAATTTTAAATCCTGAGGAGGTTCATGAGGTTATATTTTGTTGTACATGAACTTACACATGGTCACCAAACGACACCATTTTCTAAGCTTGTTCATTTCCACCTATGGCAATAGGAGGACCAATATTTCTTCTTTCCACTATTTTCCACAAGATAAAATGAGACAAACTTTTCTACTAAATGGTAAAACTTTGAGGGTTGAATTAAATTGCCAGCCCTGATTTGTGCCAAAGAAAACCCAAATGTTGACTGACTAAGAGGGCATTGGGCATTGACCAAAAAAAGGGCAGATAACATTTTTGATGGAAACACTATCCAACTAGTTACAGAACAATGGTATCAACGAGCGGAAGAGAAGTTGTAAGCATCAGACTTGTACCATCTGTCATTGGTTTTTTTGTGGGGAAAATTATGTATTAGTGATGACAATTAAGGTGCTACCTTTCACAACCACACAAGGATAGATAGTTTCTTTATTCCGTTTTTATTCATTGAAGTAGTTTTTTTTTCTTTCGATTTAATTAATAGGAACAAGGCATAACTGAAACTTTGTCAAATGACGTGACCAAGTGAGTTTTCTTAAACAACAGTGTGGATTCAACAAAATGATGTCAAAAAGCGTGTTTTCAAAGTTATCAATTGAATACAAAAGTTAAGTTATTAGACTGCACGATAGAGGATACAAATTACCATAGCATAAAGTAGGGGAAGAAAACTATCCATCTTGCCAATGAAAGTGGGCTTCAATGGAGCAAATGACTAGTATGCCCTCTTATCTCCAAATCCAACGGCCACCATTGTGGCCATTTTGTAATTTTGAACTTCGGTATGTTGGGAGTTGTTCGTTCGATGTGTTCGAGGGATTCAGTTTGGGTGAGGAGATCCCGCAGAGGGAGAGGGATTAGGATTCTGTTTTGTTTTTATCTCTGGCTTACTTTCTTCCATTTTGTTATCAACTTAGGATTGTGATTATCGTAGGGGGTGTATTTAATTGAGAATTTAAGAGACTTTAATGGATTTATAAATCCATAAATTTTTATAAAGTTTAATTGATTTGTAGATATTCCGTATAAAATTTTGATTCAATTTATTCGAAATCTCATAAGAAGAAGTGAGATTTGTGGGTGCTTAAAATACATTACGAAATCTCTCCAATTCCCTCTAATTTCTCAACTTTCTCAAATTCTTTAAAATCAATTTCTAATTGAATACACCTAAAATATTATAAACTTCTTTAAAATTCTAATTGAACACACTCAGATTTCTAAGGATTTTAATAAACTATCTTAAAATTTTAATTGAATACACCTTGAATTTCAGATAATCACTTAAAATCCTGATTGAATATCCCTAGATTCATTAAAAGAATCAAAATCCCAATTGAATGCAATCACAAATTAAGAGTCAAGTTAGTTGTAATTGAGGGTTTTACTTGTTATTAGGGGAATTTGCTAGAAGTACCAGCTAGCAGTAGTCACACTTTGTGTATACGAGCACTTGCTCTTTGGTTTGAAAACAGATCAGAATTTACAAGAAAGAAATTAAATACAAATATATTTGGAGCTCTGCTCCTTCATCTCTCCTTCCCTCTTCTTCCATAGCTTTCTTGTGCTACTTGCAGATTGATTAAGGTAATTGAGAATTGGATCATATTGGATTTCTACTTCTGAGAAAAGGTAACAAAGCTATTGCTTATTTGGCGTTTAAAATTTTTCCTTTAGATTCTGGTTTTGTTTTACTATTTAGTGATACGGAGATTATATTCACACATCCCAAATTACTTCCTTCACATTCTTTTAATTTTTTAATATTTTTTTATAAAGTGTTAGAGATCTGTAAAAAAATATTAAAAAATATGAGAGAAGTAATTTGGAGTACGAAAATAATCTCTCTAGCGATTTAGAGAATTAGAGATACACTTTTGCATGCATGTTTCTCCTCATGACTTACACTATTAGAGATACAGTTCAGAGTTTGTATGGTTGTGATTTGAGAATTAAATACTGACTTACCAATTTGTTTTTGGTTGTTTTAAAAAGACAGAATCCAAACTTAGAAGAAGTAGGAGGCAATCAAATTACCCCTTAGCTTTAGTTGAAGCTCTTTCAGCTTCCACTCTCTTTAGTTCAACATCTTGCAACTTTCCACAGTTAATTTACCTTTTCGTGCCGTTTTAGGTTGACTTTCGGATAAACAGTTCCTTAATGCAAGCAAATTTAAAAAATAATGCATGCATTAGTGTCTAAAACTAACTGCTAAATCGAAGACACAAGGATGTAATTACAATTACAACTCGGTCTTAGACTCTTAATAAAAATTTGTTGTATGAAATTTGTTGAGCACTTGAAATATTACAAGTTAAGACTTTGATTTTTATGATATATGATAACTGTTTTCTATGTTTGTTGTTAATTAAGCACGCGGGATACAACTCGGTCTTAGACTCTTAATAAAGATTTATTGTTGAAATTAAGGGGTTATACTCTTAATAATGATTTATTGTTTGAGATAACTTTTAAGGGGTTAGGCTCTTACCAACGCAGAAAAGGCTCTTGAGGCAACTTTTACATTTATAGCATTTTGGAACTCGCATAAATACCATAAAACATCTTGAAAGACTACCATTTCAAGTGGATTTTTTCTTTCATGCGAACCAAACTTCTTTTTTTCTTAGCTCATTCTACTAAAACTTCAAATTATGTTCAATTTGTTGATTGATTGTTAAGCACTTAAGTTGATCTATTTATTTTCCATGCACCCTTTTCTACCTTTTTCTATGCATGAGTGCTTTTCTGTTGCATGTTGTAGAAGATGAATGCATGAATCCTTAGGTAACCTTCATTTTTTCTTTCATTCTATGATGTAGGATAATAGAGTGGGGAAGCGGAAATTAGATTGTATTCAGGGCCGGTCCTGAGTTTTTTGGTGCCCAGTGCGAAAGTTCAAAATGTGCCCTTTTTAGTACAGAAACATATGTTTAAAATAATATTTTGCGAGGTTAATCACATGCATGTGTAAAAAAATCATCACTAGTAGCATGCAAAATGCCTTCCAATTTCTATCATGTATGTGCAAAATTTTTCACATCAACCAAATTATGATTAAAAACATATGGAAAATCACATATACGCAGAACGCATTAAACACATCCAATACATCACAATCCAATCACATATTCATCCAATCATATAAAATAACATATCCCACTAAATTAACCTCAACTGCATACCATGTGAACCACCAAGTTGTTGAAGAGAAGAGCATGCAAGAACTGGCGGTGCAACTCCGGTGACCAGTTTCGCCTTCGTTTCCCTGTCCATCTTTCTCTTTGTTCTTGTTGTTCCCACCACTGTCTCCACTCACGGTGTCCGTGGTGGAACTAGTAGCCGGAGCCGAAGAAGGTTCTTTAGCCACCGGTCCATTTGTCTTTCCAATGCTTTTTTTTTTTTTCCTTTGGAAAGGCTGAAAAGCACCCCATTTCTCTTCATCTCCATCACTATAGCCTTTAACTTGCTCCTCCTGCCATTACCCTACACCTAAAAATCAATACTTTCCACTTCTTCACCTCAAATTTTATAAGCAACCAAACAAAAGGGGCAGTCACAAAATTTACTAAAATTGATGAAGGTGGAGTCTTTTTTTTATACCTCTTCGAGTGGTGCATCTGGAGTTGTATGAAATCCGTGTTAATGGAATGAATTCCTCAAAAACATGCCCCTCACTTGAAGTCTGCTCAGAACACTTAGATTGTCCATGCAGGTAATTTGCGGTTGCATCTGAAATCTGCTACTTGCACCTCTCAATAGCTACAAAAAAAACCCCAATTTTGAAAACAGAAACCAGAACAATTCAAGCAAAAGAAACGAAGCTTCCGACTTAGAACACAAAAATTAAGCTGAAATTTGAGAAGGGTTTGTGTTCTCCGTAGTACCTTGGGCTTGGGCAGTTGGGTGACAAGCTCCAAGCAGAGAGGGAGCTCCCTTTGAAAAACTTGAATCTTATGCCTCTCCTCCATGCCCAAAACCTGGACGACTTGTCCCCTTCAGATACCCTTTATGTTATATTGATTTTTAATCCCCAAAACCTGGACAAGTTATCGCCTATAGCCTTTATTTTGGGTTTGGACAAATTTTTTTTTATACCTAATTATTTGGATTTTGTTTTTTGGGTGCCCCATTCAACTTTGGGCCCTGGACAATTGCCCCTGTTGCACTGCGCCTGGGCCGGGCCTGATTGTATTAACGGAAGCGTAAACACATAAAATTTAAATTGAAACAACAATAAAGGATAACTGGAATCACTCCAGGCACCTCTCACCTGTTCTTGGCCTCGCACCAAGACTTGGAATTTGGAATCACTCCAAATTGTTAAGAGTTTTTAGTTAAGTTTAATTAAGTTGTTTTTAATTAAATAATGTTGACTGGCTATGTAGAGACCTAGTCAAGCTCAAGTCCTAGTTTGTAGGAGTTGTGGTTGAGCATAGGGCTGGGCACGGGCCGGGCCGAGCCGGGCCGAACCTAAGTTTGTAGGAACCTGACATTACCCGAAACGGGCCGGGACGGGGATTGGATTTTCTTGTATAGGAACCGGACATTACCCGGCCCGGTTAAAACGGGCCGGTTCGGGCCGGGTCCACGGGTACCCTTTTTTTTTTTTTTTTTTTTTTAACTGCACTGCACAGTTTGAAAACTGCACAGTTTGCAAACTGCACAGATTGCAATTTGCAACTGCACAATCACAGTGACACTGCATTAGAAAGAAATAACAGTACGATTCATGTGCAAGGAATGAAGAGATAACAGCATGCCAATAGAAAATTTCCTCAATTTTTTTTTATCAGCCAGGTTTCTCTCCAAAGCAACATCAGGTCCATGCTCTGATACATGAAGCATTGCTACCGTTGAACCATATCCAGATTCTAAATTCTTCAAAAGGCGATGAGTAATTTCCTCAGCTGAGATAACGAGTGGTGCACTAACTAATGATTCATAAAATATAGCAGAAGCTGTTTTTCCCAATTGTTGGCTGACATTAACAACACATCTAAGCATTTTAACGAGCACCTCTAATTGAAGAATTAAACCCGCCTCCATGGTAACAAGATGGATGAGATCATCAGAAGTACCTATCAAATATGAATGTGAGAATTCCAAAATAAAAAATTTTAATCCGATAACTCATCCGAAACCACTACTCAGCTCCAAATATAAAAAATTAAAATTAACAGGAAAGAAGACGACTACAAAACAATCGGAACCAAACGAAGTCGGAAATGGAAACCAGAGAGTCATCTATCAGACTACCGGAGCTCCAAAAACGCCAAAAAGCAGTGAACTTTTTAACGATCGAGAATCCGAGAAGGAAAATAAAATGAGGAAGCTTTAAGAGAAACATATCAATAACCATAGATTGGAGCTAGAACTCTTTATTATACTAAAAATAGAGAAACCAGATCATCTTTGCCGAAAACAATAGAGAAAACATCAACCCACTCACACACAGATCAGAGACAACGGCGTTTGGAACCCTGAAAATTTAAATAGTTACCTGAAAATTTAAACAGATCAGAGACAAAGTCGCAGCTGGTGATGCTTTGTGGATGGCGGCTTGTGGCTGGCGCAGATGGTTTACGGCGGGTGAGCTGGGTATATGCCTGGTTTACGGCGGCTTGTGAAGGTTTAGGGTAGGTGAGATGGGAGAGAGAGAGAGAAAGAAAGACTGTGAGAGAGAGAGATCGAGAAGAAGGAGATCGAGAGGGAAGAGATCGAGAGAGAGGAGATCGAGAGGGATGAGATTGAGAGAGATCGAGGGAGGCGGAGAGATCGAGCGGAGAGATCGAATTAGGTCTGAATCCTGATAATAAAAGGGTGAGTGACAGTGAGGGTCGAATTCTAATAATAAAAGAGACCGTAATCACAGTAGACCAACGGTCCGGGCCGGGGGCCCGTTTTCTCCAATCTTTAGAACCGGCCCGCCCCGTTATTTATCTGGAACCGGCCCGCCCCGCCCCGTTTTGTATTTGTAATTCTTAGACCCGCCCCGAACCGCAAAGACCCGCCCCGACCCGCGGGTCCAGGACCCGTTTGCCCACCCCTAGTTGAGCATGTTCACCACGGTTAGGATTGCTTCCGTTGCTTAGGGTTAAAATCTCTATGAAATCAGCATGTGATCGTGGGAGAGTAGTTGTTATTTGTTTTTCAGTATTTTTCCTTTAAAAAACTGTAATCTTCCTTCGACAGATTTAATGAGAAGAACAGTTCAATATTTTACGTGAGTTTTTCATACTTAAGAGCATTGCTAGGGTTCTTAAGTTCTGGTAATCAAACCAACATTTGGTATACGGGCCAGTTTTTAGGGGTCTGAGAAAGAAACAATGTCGAGTGAGAAGGCAACTGAAAGTTTGATGGTCATTACGACCATTGGAGCATGCTGATGGAAAACTTCCTAAGGTCTAAAGAGTACTTTGACCTTGTTGAAACGGGAATTGAAATACCTGAAGGTATCTTGACAACGGCACAACAAAAGAAGGTCGATGAACTAAAGCTAAAAGATTTAAAGGTAAAGAATTACCTATTTCAAGCGATTGATAGATCCATTCTCGAGAATGATACCTCCCACCAAATATGAAAGTCAATGAAGAAGAAGTACCAAGGATCCAGAAAGGTGAAGCGAGCACAACTTTAAGCTATAAGAAGAGACTTTGAGACTTTTCAAATGAAGAATGGAGAATCTGTGAATGAGTATATTGGAAAGGCTATGTCAATGGCTAACAAGATGAGAATCCATGGTCACAAGATTGAAGATAATGAAGTCGTGGAGAAAATCTTAAGATCAATGGCTCCTAAGTTCGACTACGTGGTTTGCTGCATTGAGGAGTCAAATGACATAGAGGATATGTCAACTGATGAGCTACAAAGCTCCTTGTTAGTTTTTTAGCAGAAGCTCAATCATGGAGGCTCCCAAGAGCAAGCTTTGAACACTTCCACCTTCACTGAATCTTCAAGTTCAAGAGAAGGAAGAGGACGTGGAAGAGGTCGAGGAAATCGAGATGGTGGACAGTTTGGGAATAGAGATGATAGCAAATCATCTTATGTTTCCAAGAAAGATGATGATCGTCAAGGCAAAGGCAAAGAGCAGTTTGGCAAATCACAGGTTGAATGTTACAGATGTGGTAACTATGGCCACTACAGACATGAGTGCTACACCAAGCTTCCTAAAGAGAAGGGAGAGAAGTCAAATTTTATTGAGAAAAATGAGGAAGAAACACTACTGATGGCATTTCATGTTATGGAGAACTTTGACCAAGAGACTTAGTATGTGGACACTGGTTGTCGCAACCACATGAGCGGGTGTAAAGCATCATTTGTTAATATGGATGAAAGCTTTCGTACCACTGTAAGTTTTGGAGACAAGTCATAGTGAATGTGATGGGAAAAGGAGAGAGTCAAATCAGGACCAAAAATGACTTCATTGAGACAATTTCAAATGTCTTCTTCATTCCTGATTTGAAAACAAACCTTCTAAGTGCTGGACAACTTCAAGATAAGGGGTATATGATCACTATATTTCAAGGAGAATGTGAAATATATGATCCAAAGAGAGGCTCCATAGCTATGGTGAAGATGTCACCAAACAAGTTGTTCCCGTTGAAGCTTAAGAGTGAAAATACTTGTTTGGTTGCAAAAGGAAGATGATGAAACATGGCTGTGGCATCACAGGTTTGGGCACTTGCACTTCAATGGACTAAGAACACTCTATCATAAAAAGATAGTGACTAGTTTGCCTAAGATCACGAACTAGACCAAGTTTTGTGAGGAGTGTGTCATAGCAAAGTAGCCAAGAGAAACATTTCCAAGTGGGAAAGTAACAAGGGCTCACTCGGTTTTGGAATTGGTTCACTTGGACCTATGTGGACCAATTAATCCAAGTTCAAACAGAAGGAAGAGGTATTTCATCTCATTTAATGATGATTTCAGTAGAAAAACATGAGTGTATTTCTTGCATGAGAAGTCAGAGGCATTTGATGCATTCAAGAGCTTCAAGGCTTTTGTTGAGAATGAATCTGAGAAGAAAATCAAGTGGTTGCGCACTGACCATGGAGGAGAGTTTTATTCGAAAGCATTTGAAGCTTTGTGTGATGAAAGTGGAATAAAAGGCAGCTCACTGCGCTTACACACAGTGGCAAAATGGGGTCTCGGAGAGGAAAAATAGAACCATACTCAACATGGTTTGAACCCTGCTAGCAAAGAGAGAAGTTCCAAAATAGTTTTGGCCTGAAGCAGTTCTTTGGGTAGTTCATGTTCTTAACAGAAGTCCCACCTTTTCTTTTAAAAATATGACACCCCAAGAGGCTTGGAATGAGAAAAAGCCCTCCGTAGAGCATTTCAAGGTATTTGTGTGCATAGCATATACACACATTCCTGATGAGAAAAGGAAGAAACTGGACAACAAAGGTGAAAAGTATGTGTTTCTTGGTGTAAATGATGTGTCTAAAGCTTACAGGTTATACAAATCTTGAAATTGAGAAGATCATTATCAGTCGAGATGTGGTGTTTGAAGAGAATACAACATGGAGTTGGTTTGCAAATAAGAAAAACAACCAACAGATACAAGTTGATGATGAGTTTGATGAAGAAAACACCATGGCTCCAACCCCACCTCAAACTGAAGAAGAGGTGAAGGTTCAAGAATAGAGATATAATTTAAGGGGTGAAGGTTCAAGAAAGATGTCAGCTTGGATGATGGACTACGATACAAGCTACACAAGCTCAGATGATGACAGTGCTCACTTTGCACTGTTTGTAGACACTGATTCGATCACTTTTAAAGAAGCTTCAAAGGAGATGAAGTGGAAAGAGGAGATGGAAAGTGAAATAAGGTCCATTGAAATGGGTAGACATGGGAGCTGACACATTTGCCTAAGGGACACAAGACTATTGGTGTAAAATGGGTCTTCAGAACCAAAGTTAATGAGAAAGGAGAAATAGACAAGCACAAGGCTCGTTTGGCGGCAAAGGGATACAAGCAAAAACATGGCATTGATTACAAGGAAGTGTTTACTCCCGTGGCTAAACAAGATTCAATAAGGTTGGTAATCTCGCTTGCAGCTAAACATTCATGGTTGATTTATCACTTGGACGTAAAGTCAGCGTTCTTGCATGAAGAATTGCATAAGGAGGTGTATGTCGATCAACCACAAGGATATGAGAAAAAGGGAGAAAAAGGAA